ATGTTGCTGGTCTTTTCATAAAATATCAAATTTTGTTTTTAATTATATTTTTTTAGGAAAATCAAAATAATATCAAAATATCAACTGAAATTAAAATATAGTATATTAAAATATGTTATCAATGTGATTTCAAAAACATAATTTGATATAATTTTGATATTATTTTGATATCCGACTCTGCTCGGGAAGCGTTTTACTAAAACTGCTCAAACTACATACAAATTCAGCCAATCAAACTCAAAACCATACCGATAAATCTTGAATCGTTGTTAGTAGCAGCCAAGATTTCAGAAATGTTGATGCATATCTAAAAAATATACAGCTTATTGAACTTTTTAGGTGGTTCTCGAGCCGCTTTGACGCGTTCATTTTTGGGTTTCTTGTAGTTTTACTTTACTTCTTTAACCGATTTTGGCGTTTTCTAGTCCATTTTGATGGAATAAATGTTGTTTTGGCATATTAAGATTATCCGGGGAATTCATAAGATTTACCAGCGTATTTTTTTTTTTATAATTTAAATAATTTATTTATTTTAAAGATTCTTTTTAATTTGTTAAAATGTTGACCGGAATTGGTGTTTTAGCTTGATATTTCACGTTATAAAGATATTTTGCAGTCGTTAGCGTACGTTAGCCTTATTTTACCACGATTTAAGGATATTGTTGCTGGTTTCAGGTCATTATGCGTTTTGAAGGTTTTTAAGTCTACTTTTGTCATATACAGTGTATTTCAAAATTGATTTTAATTTATAAAAAGATTTAAAAATACATATCCAAATTTGTGGCTGTTGGTTCATAAAACATTCATCAGTTATCGATATAGTATAGTAGTAGTATTGGGCTTGAAATGCAATGAACCAGACTTTTTAAAATTTTCCTCATTTGTAGGTCTTTTATAAACCACTTATTTTACTAAAATCCGTCCACTGCGAAAAAGTTGAAAATCGAGCTTTTTACTAAAATTATTCTTACTTCATACAAGCTCTGCCAATAAAGTCCTAAACTATACCGATAAATCACCAGTCAAGATTTTTTAAATCTATCTATTCAAAGTATTTAAAACATTAAAAAAATGGTTTTCATCCATTAAATTCCACTCAATTAATTTTTGTAACCATGACAGATACGTATTTCGACTACAATGCGAAGTATTCATCAGTGTCAATCCCACTAAAGACATATCAAAATCTAACCCCCCTTAAATCTGCGATTTAAACAGACCCGAAGTTTTCTGAATCATCTTGCCCCTTAAATGCTGCACAGTAGGTCGGGCGTTTTGGTATGTGTGACGCATCTTCGATGTGAAATATATATCAAATAGACAAGAAAAATTATGAAGGTATATCCATCATTTTCCAGGATGCTTTCAAGAACCGGCTGTGTTGGTGTTAGATTGGATTGAATAAGATGACAGATACGTATTTCGACTACTATGTACAGTCTTTATCAGTGTCAATTCCACTAAAGACCTATCAAAATCTAAACCTCTTAAGTACTCATCCTCTAGGTAAAAATGTCAAGATTACAGATCTGATAAATGGTAGATAAATGTTTTGCTGATTTTGAGCAACCCTCTGATCTTGATATGTTTACCTAGAGGATGAATACTTAAGAGGGTTAGATTTTGAAAGGTCTTCAGTGGGATTGACACTGATGAAGACCATACATATTAAATACGTATCTGTGATAGATACTAACATTTGTTTTTTTAATTTGTTTTCCATCGATCTTGTTTTCCGTGCTGAGCACCAATGCAACCGACGCCAGAGAGGCAGCTCCTACACCTGGACCCTACCTATCGACCCATCAACTCATGAGCCGGGGACCAACGGCTTTACTTCCCTAGGTGTGATCAGAGATGTTATGCCTCAGAACATCCCGGTGGCGGCGAAATTCCGGTTCCAGTTTTTCTATACTTGCTCTGACCGATATAGGCCAATTCTAACGATTTATCTTGAAAGCTCCTTCTGAGTTCCCCCAGAGGTCCTGCTGACAGTCCCGGAAATTACTGCCGACTTCTTCTGGAAGTTTCTCTAAACTTTTTCTGAAAATTTCTTCCGATTTGCCCAGGAATTTTTTTCCGTCCGAATGTCAGGAGTCTGTCAGCTATACTTCTGGAAATTTCTTCTAACTGTCTCCGGAAGTTTTTTTCTGATTGCTCTGGAAACTTTTCCCGAACTCTTCGAAAAGTTTTCATCAACATCAATTCGATTTTTTTTTTAAATCTATTGATAGTTCTTCACATAACTCAAGGAATGTTAGATTTAGAATTCTGCTATGTGGTTATGGAATGTTATATTTAGAACTGTTTCCTCTCTAAATCGAAATAGCTTTCACAGAAGTTAGTGAAATTACTCGAAATTGATTCCCAGGGTGCCAATGGTACTTCAATAAACAAGAGCATATTTTTTAAAATTACGTTATTTTTACAACCCCCAACCCCCCTTGCACTAATGGTCTGCTAACAGTTATATACAAACAAGACCTACCTTGTATCAATCTCTGTCTTTTGATACTTCACACATCTCCTGTTAAGAATTTTACCCTATTTGAACTCTTCAATTTGATTTCATTATAAGACCTTTTCAAAACAGTTTCTGAAGGCCAACAAAACCGTTGTTCGATTTGCGATGGAATTCGCTCACAGTCATTAAGAGGTAGTTAACTTTTCGGGAAGCTTTTGAACTTTCCCGCTGCGTGCGTTTTGCATGTTTGTGTTGGTGAGGAAAAGTGTTTTGTTTTGTCCGCTCCATTGCCATCACAACCGAACTTAATGATGATGACGCCGATGAAAACGATCATCATCATCATCATCATCACCATAATCATCACAACCACCTCCACTCCCACTCTACCCGACTGCTATTAGTCAAGGCATCATCGTTCAAGCGATAGTTGGATACCTCGGTGCTTTTTCTAGTTCATTTCCTCGGAAGCGCAACAACCTACCCATCCATTCCCATCAACCCACCCGCATTCTCGTCCCACCCATACATAAACACACACACACCCAATACCAACGAACGGACGGGGGATGTGGGTGGAGGTTGCGGGTCGTATTATTAACATACATCGTCATCGCCATCACCGTCGCCGTGGCTGCCATCGTAGGTGGGCCTCTGCTGCTCTGATGGGCAGGAGAAGGATCCACCGATTTTTTGAATAGGCAAATTAGTAGTTCCCAAGTGCACGGCTCGATGGTGGTAAGACTCAGCTGCGATAGGAAAGAGCCGAGCGAGAAAGCAACGGAAAGCACAAAAAAGCCACGTGACCTCCAAGTCCTGGCTCAGTTCGCGCTACACCGTTGATCCGGAAGGAAATATCTTGGCAAAAAATAAATATCGCCTCAACGCTAGTATAGAAGCTGAAGCAGCTTCTGAAACCTGAGTCCTGCGAGGCTTTTTGGTGCGGTCGAAGTTTGATTAATGTTGTTGGCTTATTCGACGAGTAATAATAAAGTGTTTGGGTGCAAACAAAAAACGACGAAAAACAGTTGAACCGTGATGAAAACAACACGCTGAATTATTTATGATTGTGCGAAAAGAGTGTTAGACGGAATTTTTGAATAATTTCACCCAATGCCAGCCGAGGCGATTGAGTGACGATTCTACACGCACTTACACAGTGTAGCACAAGTGTAAGTTTATTGTATCGATTTAGTGCTCAGTCCTTGGATTCGCGCGCGTATTTCAGGATCAAAACAGGAACGGATATCTGACCAAGTGTGTAGAAGCGATGTGAAAACGGAGAAAGTGGTAGTTCTATAGTTCGATTGGCACTGAATGGGGGAAGGGATTGGAGGGGCCGGCAGGGCAAGGCAGAACACGGAAAAGGCTAAAGTTGAAAATTATACGATGGCAAATTAACATTTATAGAGCCGTTGAGAGACAGTTCTGCGCTGGTAGAAAGCCCGGATGGCGATGAAGAAAATGCATTAAGATTATCAGTGTTTAATGATTTGAACGGTTCAATCGCCGGCATGAACAGATGAAGTTGTCGCTGTTTTGGGGGATAGTTCCTTAACTAAAAGTTTTTGCTTCGGTTAAGTGTAGCATTAAATTCAAGAATCGGACCGAAACTTCAGACTATTGAGCGTTAATCTTTACTTCTAAAAATTGTAATCAAATATACCATTCTAGGGGTGGGAAGGTTAACTTAAAAAACAGTTTTTTGGGACAGCCTACACTGATAAATTAAACTATTCTCATTTAGATTAAAATTCAATAAATTTGACAATAAACTAAGTGTAATCATATCGAATGATTAAAAATTAATTATCTCTTGATAAAACATAATCATGTGATATTAAACCCAGTTTAATCATGGTTGATCAAATTTAAAGTTATCTTGTTTGTATAAATTTTAATCATTTTTGATTCAATTTTAATCATTTTTAATTGATTTTCAATCTTATTTGAATGAATTTTAATCTTTAAAAGAAATAAAATTTAAAACTGAACATACAAATTTTTATCACAAGTGATTATTTCAAATTTAATCATGCATGACTATTGCCAAGGAATTAATGCCTTGGACTCAATAAGGTGAAGCGGGAATTTGTATACTTTTTAGGGTTTTTGAATTCCTTTTTTTTTTTGCGTGTAATGTAAATAAATTTTTATACATTCTAGAGAAAGTACTATCGCAAATAATTGGTCACAAATTGAATACAAAGATATTCCTCACGATTTTTTTTCCCAAAGGTTGTATGACACTAAAGCTTGCTTCAGATAGAATTGGAACAAAAACAATTGCCTGTATTTCAGTTATTTATTATTGAATTCAAGATCTTTTTTATACAAATGTAGCTTTTTCTTCACACTTTTAAGAAAAAATACGTATAAAATTATTCGTCACGGTTTCGAAGGAATTCTCGAATTTTTCCTGTAACACGGCTCATTAGGCGGCGCACACCTTCTTCGTCCATCGTTTTAGCTATCTTATTCCACCAGGTCTTCATCTGATTGATGTCTTTGACAACCTTTCCCTTTGCCTTGAGTCTCCTCTTCATGATTGCCCAGTATTTCTCAATAGGGCGGAACTGGGGGCAGTTGGGTGGGTTAAGGTTTTTCGGAACAAACTGGACCCCTTTCTCTGCATACCATTCTTGAACGACTTTGCTGTAATGACAGCTTGCCAAATCTGGCCAAAACATTACGGGATGGTCGTGGGATCGAATGAACGGCAAAATTCGTTTTTGGAGACACTCTTTTTGGTATAGTTCCGACGTCATTGTCTTATTTGTAACGAAAACTTTCGTTTTTTTGCCACAGCTGCAAATGCCCTGCCAAATCATAAATTTTCGTGCAAATTTGTCGACAAAAACAAATTTAAATTTGGCTGGAACATCCCCCCGAGCCGTTGCCAAGTAAAATTTTTGACCTGGGATTTGCCCGAGGTCAGCCTTGACATAGGTTTCATCGCCCATCAGAAGACACCCGTCGAACTTGGTCAGCACCTGGTCGTATAGCTTCCGCGCACGGATTTTGGCCACACTATTCTATTTTATGGTCCGATTTGGCTGTTTGCTAGCTCGATACGACTTGATTCCTTCCCGGAGTCGAGTTCTCCTCACGGTACTATGGGCAGCACCGAAATTTCTGGCCAAATCACGGTCCGACAGATTGGGATTCTTCTTAATCGTCTTCAAAATCTTACCACGCAGTTTCCGGTCGACAGTTCCACTCCGACGATTGGCTTGAGGCTTCCGAATCGTCGTCAATGTTTCCTTATACCGTTTGATAACGCGCCATACGGTATTTCTGGGCAATTACAGCTGTTTAGCTAGCCTAGATGCAGACCACAATGGATTTTCCAAATAACTGTGCACAATTTTTTCCCTTCTTTCGGCTTCCATGTTGATTGTTTACAAAGTACAGTCGATTTGCGGAATGTCAAAAATACATACGTGAAGCTGACAAAATTCCCGACACGTGGGCGCCAAGAACTTCCAAATCCGTCCACCAGGAGCACCACAATATGAGCAAAAGTTTGTTCCAATTCTAAATGAAGCAAGCTTTATATGATGCATTGCCTGCAAGACTATCATGAAACCAATTGTTACTAGTATTGAATAACTCTATACAGGTAACTGTTTATTAATGTGTTTTGAATTTAATAGAAGAATTTGAAAACTTTGCAAGTCCACTATTTTTCTTAAGATAAGGGGAAAGTAGTTAACAGTGAGACAACCATTTTAATTTAGTTTTATCTTTCGATGAAAGCTGCTACTAACAAGCTATTGACTCCATTCGAATGGTATAGGTTTCTAGTTGACTTAAAAAAAAAAAAGATTCAAGCGGAAAACATTTGTCTCACTGTTACTCACTAGACAGCAACAGTGAGACAAAGATTCTTAAATATGCAGTGGGCTTCGTGGTCTTGCGGTTAGCGACGTCACCCGTCGTTCAGGCGTATTGTGAGTGCCACGAAGTGAGGGTTCGATTCCCGCTCCAGCCGGTGGAACTTTTCGCAACCCGGAAATTTCCCTACTGGTCTACTGGGTTTTCAGTGTTGTCCGTTGTCTAGTGTTAAGTATTCAGTCTGTTCCACCTCTGGTTGAAGACGGTGTCAATTGTCTTGTCTTTTATAATATTGAGACACATATTTTAATAAAAGTCAAATCTTAAAACTGTTATTCGAAACACCTTAAATTATATTTAAGATGTGATTTATCGAGTATGGAAACGATCATACATTATGCCACGCTTTTAGTGACATACACGAAACATTTTTATGTCCCGACAAAATCGCGGCGCCGGTGGTGTAGTAGTAAGCGAGATTGCCTCTCACCCCAAAGGGCGTGATTCCAATCTCAGTCGGCGCCGTCGGGATTTTCTGTATGTATGTAAAGGATACCACTCAATGTTGCGCGGCACAGCCATTAGAACAAGCAGAATCTCCTTTCAACGATATAAATGTTCCAACCCGATACAGAACAAGCCATTTCAGACATTCATTCAGACAGCGCCGATTGGGATTGAATCCAGGTCTTTTAGAGTGAGAGGCAATCATGCTATCCAGTACACCACCAGAACCGCTAACAGTGGAGAATTTCTGTTGAGAAATTAATAGACAATTATTGTTCATGGCAGATTTTTCCAGATTTTTCAAGACTGCCTATCTGATGACATGTCTGCTTAAATATTTTTCATAGCAGATTTTTGTTTCTTGGAAACATGAGCGGTTCTTTCTGGGCATATTTCAGCAATGGTTTCTGACGTCTTGAACAAACTATACATCGACATAATTGTGCTTTACTATGCTGACTTCATTTGCTACTCACTACTTTCTTGATCTGGAACAATACACAGATGTCGTATCATGAAAAGTGAACAGTTATTAGAATTTCGGCCCAATGACCATTTCGGCTTAATGGCTTGCGGCCTAATGGCGTTCGGCCTAACCAGTGGCATTCGGCTAAATGACACATCACTCTTAATAACATATGAAAGCGTGTGGCAAGTTTTGTTGATATGTTGTCTTCGGCGTAACCTTTTTTTTAACTAGTTCGTTTATTTACTAGGCTCAGTCGTGTGTGACACTTTGCGGAGCCAAAATCAGTAATGTTTGATTTACATTTTAAATAACAGTATTTCTAGGTTAGTATTGGGTACCAATTACTCGTGGCGGGCTCGAGGTTAATGAGTAACAATTTCATTTGGAAGAATCTAGGTAGGAAACTGGTTTCAGCAGCCTCCTTCAGAAACTGATATCGGACAGTTGACCAAATCCTGGCTGGGCAGGGGCAAGTAGCACAGGAAAAGGAGGATAATAAGACTGGGACACAATGGCGGAAAATTGTTTGGAAAGGAGGGGATAGTCACATCAAACTCTAACATCAGACAAACAAAGGAATTCGTAGATCGCTTGCATGTAGGGAAGATCACGTGTGCCCAATACATCTCTTACTTCACGGAAGGGTTGTCTACCTCGGGCCACTAGGGTATCCAATAGTCGTGCTCTGGAGGCGTTACCCGAGCAATACCAAACTGCGTGATCGATGTCATCATAACCGGTTCTGCACCTACATATATTGCTGTCAACGAGGTTTATTCTATAGAGATGTGCGTCTAGCGAGTAGTGGTTGGACATAAGTCTTGACATCACTCGAATGAATCCCCGACTTACATCCAGACCTTTGAACCACGCTCTCGAAGAAACATTTGGAATAATGGAATGTAACCACCGCCCAAGAGAATTATTTGTCCAATCGTTTTGCCAACTTAAAAGAGAACTCTGACGTACTAATGGGAAAAAATCATCATGTGAAATTCTTCTATCATAAATCTCGCCTTGTTGTGCGCCCACCTTTGCGAGAGAGTCTGCCTTCTCATTGCCTGGGATTGAGCAATGTGAGGGGACCCATACAAAGGTAATTATATATGATCTTTCGACCAGCAAACTCATCTGCTCCCTTACCTTTGAAAGGAAATAAGATGAGTGCCTACCTTGTTTCATCGACCGAATAGCCTCAACCGAACTGAGACTATCCGAGAAGATGAAGTAATGGTCTATGGGCATATCGGAAATCATCCCCAATGCGAAGTTGATTGCTGCTAGCTCAGCAACATAAACGGAACAAGGTTCCTGAAGTTTCCGAAAGGCAGTTGAGTATTCATTGAAGACGCCGAAGCCAGTGGATCCATCAATGCGTGATCCATCAGTGAAAAATCTTCTATTGCAATTGACTTGTTGGTACTTTTCAGCAAAAATGCGGGGAATTGAGATAGGTCGAAGTTGAGCTGGAACTCCTTGAATAGCCTGTTTCATGGAGAGATCATAGTCAATGGGGGAACTGTAGTTAGTAAAGCATACACGAGAGGGGTTATAGCAAGGAAGGCTAATATCCGATGACATATAATTAAGATAGATTCGCACGTATCTAGACTGGATGCTCAATTCGAGCATTTCTTCGAAGTTTTCAATCACAAGGTTGTTACTGACACTACATTTAATCAATATTCTTAATGAGAGCTCCCAGAAACGGTTCTACAGGGGTTTTACGCCCGCTAGGACCTCTAGGCTCATATTGTGTGTTGAATGCAAACAGCCTCGGCGTAACCTTGAAAACCAATCCTAGATGGTGCTTGTTCGAACATTACGCATTACGATTTGTGTCTATTATTAAGAGTCCATAACTTTAAACATTCCTAAAGTTTGCATTGTTCGTGAGCTTTTTTATTTAACAAAAAAATCAAAAATTGGCCAAGGACATTTTGAAATATTAAGGTAGGGGAAATAGATGTAATGTCGGCCTAAATGCCCCTAATTTGGGCCCATACATAAATTCAGCAATCGACTAAATTTTCAATAGCGACCAAAAATTACCATTTGTACCGTCCCAATGACGCGTTCATCTAGATACAATTGATAAATAGCAGATTTTTAGCGATGGACCCAATCTTAGAATAAGAGCCATTTTCCCTATTTATTTTTCTTAAATTTTGGCTTGAAATTCCTTTACACATTTTTTGTATATTTTTCTTATGTTTCTCTACAACTTTGTCTCAGACGTCATTTCGATCAGAAGTGTCGTTTCGGTGCTACAATTTTTTGAAATGTTTCAAGGACGCCATTTTGAAAATTTTACATAATGCAAAATGGCCGCATTTTAGCAAAATTGTGAATCATTGCCCATAACAAACAATTACGCAAAGTTTTATACAAATCGAAGAAGGTCTATTCAAAAATTCTTATTTTTTTGATATTTTACCAAGAACTGCTCTAACAATGTTCAAACAAGTACCATCTAGGCCCTTTTTGACATCAGTGTGTTCACTCCGATGGCGACAAAAGCAGACCACTCTCGATGTGTGTCACGCGATCGTCTGTTTACTCGGCAGCAACCATTGTGTGGGGTTCCCCATTGTTCTTCATCAGCAGTTCTTTCGGTCGATGCCTCGTCGACTTTGGAAAACAACCGTTTCGTGATGAGTGCTGACCACGTTTTGCACCCATTGCTGCAGTGGAAGCGCTCTTCTCCCTGTTGGCGATGCTGCCGTAAAATGAAACTACTGGAAGCGACTCCCATTCTGATGGAGGAGTCTTATTGGCAGTGGCGTTTCCTTAACCTCAATCTACCTCTGCACCAACGCTCAAAACATAATAAAAATATCAAAATATTACTTGTAATGGATACATATCGAGTAAACTAGAAGATTAAGTGTATTTTTCTACCGATTCGAGTATAAATATGGCATTAAATCTGTTTTTGAAAGTTGGTGCACAGGTTAAAAGTAAGGTTACGGTATGGCACTGCTTATTGGATAGCGGAAGAAGAAGAGTTTAAAGACATTGAAAAGAGACCCTGAAATCCAAGAAACTTTTATTTTAATGGAGAAAAATTAAACCAATTTCTCACGAGAATTTCTAAGAATATAAAGATCAGTGTTCGGAAAAACTGAAAAACTTAAATCGCATGCATGAGTGTATTCGCCTATGAGTTTCCAGGTTCAAAAATGCATTGCTTTAAATTTTTACGTTATTCATTGTTATGACCAGGGGTTGAAACTGTTGACGTTTTTTAAGACACTCGCTTTGTTGTCGTGCGCGACAGTCTGTTTTTATTCGTACTCTTATGCAACACAACACAAACGGTAGAACAACATTCGAGCAAAAAGAAAACTTTCAAATAACTATCATATGACATGTGTGATTTGGTTCTAATTCCTCAATTTGGTGTAAACTAAAGCATTTCTGATCAGAAATGTCATTACTAGGACATCGTTGCTTGATATTTTAAGAATTCACACAAGCACAACATCAGCAGCTCTTATCATGAGAAAAAACTGAAATACATACATTCATGATGGTCTTCGGCGACAGTGTCGTACGACAGAGCCTGTCATATGACATTTTAGTTTGGTACTGTAATTTGATAGCTTGTTTTGCAAGTGTCAGAAGCAAAAGCAGTCGATTATCACAGAAAATATGTCGACTACGGTGACCACTTACAAGACTGGTTATGACTGTTGATCTTGCAACAATGGAAGAGCAACAAACACAACATGCACAAG